GGTCTTGTCCCAGACCCCAGCAACAGAATTTTGGATCTAACACGAAATGGAATTTATGGCAAGTCGCACAGTCTAGTGACATTAAAAGAGTTTATTAGCCACTACTAAGTGACAGAGCAGGGAGTCCTCAGAAAGCAAGAGGAGGAACGCACCTGTTTTAAAGAAAAAAAATTTTTTTTGAGACAGAGTTTTACTCTTGTCACAATGACATGATCTTGGCTCACCAAAACCTCTGCTTCCTGGGTTTAAGGATTCTCCTGCCTCAACCTCCCAAGTAGGTGGGATTACAGGTATGCACCACCATGTCCAGCTAATTTTTTTTTCTTTTCCATTTTAATTTATTTTTATTTTTTATTTAATTTTTTTTTATTCCATCCCTGTAGAGACTTCCAAAAATTACCAATGCCTACTATATTTCCAGTCGTCATGGCGGGGTATTGAAAAAATTTTCAATTAGCAATAATCCCACCTCAAATAAACCTCACTAGCTATGATACTGCCACTGTGCAAATCTATTTTTTTTTTTTTTATTTTTAGTAGAGACTGGGTTTCACCATGTTGGCCATGCTGGCGTCCAACTCCTGGCCTCGGGTTATCCGCCCTCCTCGGCCTCCCAAAGTACTGGGATTACAGGTGTGATTACTTAATGTAAACATTATGTAATCACACCTGTAATCCCAGCACATTAACGTACAAACAGAATTACTTAATGTTTGTTTATATAGGTTATTAAGAATAGTGTTGTCTCTTATGAAGGATTGTGATCAGTTTGTGTCAGGCTATTAGTATTGCTACTTTTCTTTGTTACTATCGATTTTAACAATAATTTATAAGTGTACTATCACCTTTAAAACTTATTTTTAAATTAAGAATGCTTTTTGCTTAAAGTACTGGTATATATTTATGAGTTTTGGGTCTTTTTTAGTTATTAACTTGTTCCTGCAACCGTAAATATTTCATAACCAAAGGTGCTCAATCCCTAAATATATAATCCAACAGATTTAAACTGTGTGTGTGTGAGAGAGAGAGAGAGAGAGAGAGAGGGTGGGGGTGAGTCTCACTCTCTCTCCCAGGCTTGAGTGCAGTGGTGTGATCATGGCTGGCTCTCTGCGGCCTCAAACTCCTGGGCTCAAGTGATCCTCCAACCTCAGCCTCCTGGGTAGCTGGAACCACAGGCACGAGCCACCATGCCAGCTAATTTTTATATTTTTTGTAGACATGAGGATCTCGATATTTTCCCAGGCTGGTCTTGAACTCCTGATCTCAAGTGATTCTCCCGCCTTGGCCTTCCAGAGTGCTGGGATTACACTCGTGAGCCCTGCACCCCGCCCAGATTTAGCTTTTTCTAAAGCTTTTATTGAAAATAAAGTCACTACGGTTAAGATGCCTCTGACGGTTTTGCATTTTAAGTGCAAAGACTATGTTGAGTGAATTTTTCCATCAGTTGTAAAACGTGCATCCATGTTTGTTTTATTCCTATGGTTTCGAATTAATTGTCCCTTCTTCCTTTTTGGAAACACACGGGCTAGTGTCAGTTTGCATTTGCAGAACGATGGCGCTGAACACTGCGCTCCAACTTCAAGTGGTGCAGCGGGATGGCCACCAGAGGGCACGCGTCCTCTGCCAGCGCTGTGAGCACAAGGGCCCTGCAATGCCCCCGGCCACCAGCAGACGGCGCACTGGAGCAAGGAGGCATAACTGCCTAAGGGTCAAGCTCCTCTAACTATCAGAAGCCCGGCTCTACATAGGCTTACAACTCCAGATACGACATGTGAAAGGGTCTTGGGTTTACAGTTCTAGAAATTACATGTGAAATGGTCTTGGTCCATGGAGTAGGCGTGGGGTGGGGGCTTGAGCTCGTTTAAGTTAAAACAATGCCTTCTGGAAAGATTCACCCACGCCATGCCTGCGATCTATAAGGTGGCACTTGGTCGGCCAGCCTTTACTTCTATTGAAATGCAGTGTGGAAGTCAAGGGGGAGGTGATCTTAGATGCTTGGGTCTCCTTCCTCACCAGGTCACCTCCTCCCTGCACACAGCCACTCTCCCACCTGCGCTACTTTCCAGCCTCACTCACAATCACTCTGAGCAACTGTGGAAAGAGGACAGCTGTGGAGCCTCTCCCTTGTCCAAGTTACTCCGCTGAGAAACCTGATAACTCGTCTCATTGGACCCTGGACCGCCCTGGGAAGAATATCTCTGCCCCTGTATTTCAGACAATGACTATGAGGTGGTCAGGCACAGTGGCTCACACCTGTAATCCCAGCACTCTGGGAGACCGAGGCAGGTGGATCATGAGGTCAGGAGTTCAAGACAAGCCTGGCCAATATGGAGAAACCCCCTCTCTACTAAAAACACAAAAATTAGCCGGGCGTGGTGGCGGGCACCTATAATCCCAGCTAATCGGGAGACTGAGGCAGGAAATTGCTTGAACCCGCTGTCAGGTCTCCATATGCAAACCTGGAACCTGAAAGTCTGAAGTCCTGCTTGCCTCCTGATTGTCTCCCTCCACCCCGCCCCCCCGCGTTCGCCATTGTCCCTGAGCGCCCAGCAGAGCTTCCCTGGACAAGCCCCTCACCCAACCCTGCCATCTCAACTCTTCTTATGAATGTGAATACCCCTCACCTATCCTCTCATCTTAACTGCTCCTCTGCCTCATCCCAGCCGCCACTGTAACTGAAGTTGTGGTCATGTACACTCCTTGCCCCTACCCACCGCTGTAACTGATCTTACTCTGTAACTTTCCACTGCACACCCCAAACCTGTAAAACCAACTCCTATCCCACTACCCTTTGCTAACGCCGTTTTTGGCCTTAGCCAACCTGCACCCAGGTGAATAAACAGCCACGTTGCCCACACAAAGCCTGTCTGGGGGGTATCTTCATTCAAAGCACGAATTTTCAACATTTTGGTACCAAAACCCGGCATGGGGGAACTCCTTCAGGAAACCAAACCCGTCTCTGCTCTTGCGCTCCTTCTATGAAGAGATCGACCTACCGACCTGGGTCATCAGACCAGCCCACACACACACCACCAGCTGTTTTGGTAAGCAGTCTCTTTTTTGCTTTTCCATTCTTTTGTCTTTTCCTTTCCATGTCCTCCCCCTTTTGGTTTCATTGTTTTTCCACCGCAGGCACAAGGAAAATCAGGTAAACCAGGATCTTCCGTGAGGTTCGGGACCAGAAAAGCCCTATGTAGGTCAGGGATCCTGGGACCCAGGTTCCCCAGGTGCTTGACTATCATGGAGACGTTCACCCGAGTCACTTACCCACCAGACTCAGGGCCGATATTGGTGGCAGGTAACATACAGGATGCTCTCTTCGACTGCTCACCAACAACGAGGTTCAACCCAGGCTCACCAAGGGACGCCTGTTGAGCAACTGGGTTGTGTGCCTATTCTCCTTGTCTCTGCTGTCTTTCCAGACCATGAGCAATCATCCCTCCTCTATCCCTCCCTCCTCTCTGCTGGCCTGTGTTCTAAAGAACCTCAAACCTCTCCAACTGTCCCCTAACCTAAAACCCAAATGTCTCTGTAAACACTGCGTTCTCTTTACGGGGCCACTGCATGGTCGCAATACAAGTTAAACAATGACTCCAACTGGCCAAAAATTGGCACCTTTCACCTTTATTTTATGAAATTGAGACAATTTTCATCACAACATGGGCAAATGGTCAGAAATTCACTACGTCCAGGCATTTTTTTTACACACCAATCCCTCCCTAATCTCTACTCCTCTTCACTTCCATCTGCCGCTCCTTCCTCTGCGGGTTAGCCAGAATCCTCCCTGTCCATCAACCTTCCGACCTTTCTCCTTCCCGCCTATGAACCAGGCCCTCATCCAGGACCTAACCCCACCCCAGAGCCTTCCTCTGCCCACAACCTGCCTCCTCATGCCCCTCCTGTCACCTCCCCACCTCATACACGGCCCGGCTTACAGTTAGTCCTGCGGCTGCCTCCTGCACCCCTGCCTGACAATTCCCCTTTCAGAGGTGGCTGGAGCCAAAGGCATAGTTAGGGTGGCGTTCCTTCCCTTTATCTGACCTTTCCCAAATCGACCACCGGTTAGGCTCCTTTTCATCAGATCCTCCCATACTTCACCCAGTCCAATAATCTCACCCGGAGTGACTTAAATGCCATCCTTACTTCCACTCTCACACCTAAAAAATGCTTAATATGCATTTTATCACTCAGTCAACCCCAACATTACAAAAAGGTACAAAAATTAAAATCTGGCCCTCAAACCCCACCACGGGAATTAGGCAACCTTACCTTCAAGGTGTTCAATAACAGGGAGAAATCTGCGCGGCTTCACATCTCAGAGCTGCAGATGCTGCCTTCTCCATAAGACAAACCCCAGCCCTGCCACCGGTTCACAGAGACTTCAGAGCACCTAGACTGCAGCGCGTCCAGCCGACCCCCCGGACTTTGCTTCACGTGTCGGAAACCTGGCCACTGGGCCAAGGAGTGCCCGCAGCCCAGGAATCGTCCTGAGCCCTGCCCTGTCTGTGCGGGCCCCCACAGAAAGTCAACTGTCCAACTCAGGTCGCTGCTCCCAGAGCTCCTGAAGCTCCAAACCTTGGCTTGGCAGCTAAAGACTGACGCTGCCCGAGCATCTCGGAAGTCCCCTGGACCTTCACAGATGCCAAACTTAGGGTAACTCGTACGTGGAGGGCAAGTTTATCCCCTTCTTAATCAGCACAGAGGCACCCACCCCATGCTGCCTTCTTTTCAAAGACCTGTCTCCTTGGCTGCCATGCTGTTATGGGAATTGACGGCCAGGCCTCCGGGCCTCTCAAAACTCCACATGTCTGGTGTCAATCAGTTCTTTCCTAATCATCCCCACGTATCCAGTTCCCCTGTTAGGCCGGGATATCCTAGGGAAATTGTCTGCCTCCTTGACTGTTCCTGGGCTATAGCCACAGCTCATTACCGCCCTCCGCCCCAAACCCGTACCTTCCTCAATAGCTCTTCTTACATCCCCCAACCTTAAGCCTAGGGTGTAAAACACCACCTTCCCATCCATTGCTACAAGTCACTCACCTCTCCTCATCCCCTTAGAACCTAACCACCCTTACCTTGCCCAGCCCCGTACCCCATCCCACAACAGCCTTTAAAAGTAAAGCATGTTATCACCTGTCTATTGAAACATGGCCTTTTAATTCACCCTCTTGCTTCTTTGGCATCTGTACTCAAAGGGGCATCACGTATCCCCTTCCAAAGCCCAAATTTTTTCCCATCTGTTATAATCCTTCACCAGCATACACTCGTTCCCCCTGCCAACGGCTTCCAGTAAATTTCCCAAATTCCAACCCCCTCCACCAAACAACAGCTTATCTCCTTCCTGGGTGTGGTTGCTACTTCACCTCAGGATACCAGGTTTTGCTATTCTAACTAAACCATTGTATAAACTCACTAAAGAAAATGCCGGGTGCGGTGGCTCATGCCTGTAATCCCAGCACTTTGGGAGGCCGAGGCAGGTGGATCACGAGGTCAAGAGATCGAGACCATCCTGGT